ATTCAGTTTACTGTGTGGGGTATTCAGTATACTGTGTGGGATATTCAATATACTGTGTGGGGTATTCAGTATACTGTGTGGGGTATTCAGTATACTGTGTGGGGTATTCAGTATACTGTGTGGGGTATTCAGTATACTGTGTGGGGTATTCAGTATACAGTGAGGGGTATTCAGTATACTGTGTGGGGTATTCAGTATACTGTGTGGGGTACACAGTATACTGTGAGGGATACACAGTATACTGTGTGGGGTATTCAGTATACTGTGTGGGGTATTCAGTATACAGTGAGGGGTATTCAGTATACTGTGTGGGGTATTCAGTATACTGTGTGGGATATTCAGTATACTGTGAGGGGTATTCAGTATACTGTGTGGGGTATTCAGTATACTGTGTGGGGTATTCAGTTTACTGTGAGGGATATTCAGTATACTGTGTGGGGTACACAGTATACTGTGTGGGGTATTCAGTATACTGTGTGGGGTATTCAGTATACTGTGTGGGATATTCAGTATACTGTGAGGGGTATTCAGTATACTGTATGGGGTATTCAGTATACAGTGAGGGGTACACAGTATACTGTGTGGGGTATTCAGTATACTGTGAGGGGTATTCAGTATACTGTGAGGGATACACAGTATACTGTGTGGGGTATTCAGTATACTGTGTGGGGTATTCAGTATACAGTGAGGGGTATTCAGTATACTGTGTGGGGTATTCAATATACTGTGTGGGATATTCAGTATACTGTGAGGGGTATTCAGTATACTGTGTGGGGTATTCAGTATACTGTGTGGGATATTCAGTATACTGTGAGGGATATTCAGTATACTGTGTGGGGTACACAGTATACTGTGTGGGGTATTCAGTATACTGTGTGGGGTATTCAGTATACTGTGTGGGATATTCAGTATACTGTGAGGGGTATTCAGTATACTGTATGGGGTATTCAGTATACTGTGAGGGGTACACAGTATACTGTGTGGGGTATTCAGTATACTGTGAGGGGTATTCAGTATACTGTGAGGGGTATTCAGTATGTGTGGGGTATTCAGTATACTGTGAGGGGTATTCAGTATACTGTGTGGGGTATTCAGTATACTGTGTGGGATATTCAGTATACTGTGAGGGGTATTCAGTATACTGTGAGGTATTCAGTATACTGTGAGGGATACACAGTATACTGTGTGGGGTATTCAGTATACTGTGTGGGGTATTCAGTATACAGTGAGGGGTATTCAGTATACTACGTGGGGTATTCAGTATACTGTGTGGGATATTCAGTATACTGTGTGGGGTATTCAGTATACTGTGTGGGATATTCAGTATACTGTGAGGGGTATTCAGTATACTGTGAGGGATATTCAGTGTACAGTGAGGGGTATTCAGTATACTGTGTGGGGTATTCAGTATACTGTGAGGGGTATTCAGTATACTGTGAGGGGTATTCAGTATACTGTGTGGGATATTCAGTATACTGTGTGGGGTATTCAGTATACTGTGTGGGGTATTCAGTATACTGTGTGGGATATTCAGTATACTGTGAGGGGTATTCAGTATACTGTGAGGTATTCAGTATACTGTGAGGGATACACAGTATACTGTGTGGGGTATTCAGTATACTGTGTGGGGTATTCAGTATACAGTGAGGGGTATTCAGTATACTGTGTGGGGCATTCAATATACTGTGTGGGATATTCAGTATACTGTGAGGGGTATTCAGTATACTGTGTGGGGTATTCAGTATACTGTGTGGGATATTCAGTATACTGTGAGGGATATTCAGTATACTGTGTGGGGTACACAGTATACTGTGTGGGGTATTCAGTATACTGTGTGGGGTATTCAGTATACTGTGTGGGATATTCAGTATACTGTGAGGGGGATTCAGTATACTGTATGGGGTATTCAGTATACTGTGAGGGGTACACAGTATACTGTGTGGGGTATTCAGTATACTGTGAGGGGTATTCAGTATACTGTGAGGGGTATTCAGTATGTGTGGGGTATTCAGTATACTGTGAGGGGTATTCAGTATACTGTGTGGGGTATTCAGTATACTGTGTGGGATATTCAGTATACAGTGAGGGGTATTCAGTATACTGTGAGGTATTCAGTATACTGTGAGGGATACACAGTATACTGTGTGGGGTATTCAGTATACTGTGTGGGGTATTCAGTATACAGTGAGGGGTATTCAGTATACTACGTGGGGTATTCAGTATACTGTGTGGGATATTCAGTATACTGTGTGGGGTATTCAGTATACTGTGTGGGATATTCAGTATACTGTGAGGGGTATTCAGTATACTGTGAGGGATATTCAGTGTACAGTGAGGGGTATTCAGTATACTGTGTGGGGTATTCAGTATACTGTGAGGGGTATTCAGTATACTGTGAGGGGTATTCAGTATACTGTGTGGGATATTCAGTATACTGTGTGGGGTATTCAGTATACTGTGTGGGGTATTCAGTATACTGTGTGGGATATTCAGTATACTGTGAGGGGTATTCAGTATACTGTGAGGTATTCAGTATACTGTGAGGGATACACAGTATACTGTGTGGGGTATTCAGTATACTGTGTGGGGTATTCAGTATACAGTGAGGGGTATTCAGTATACTGTGTGGGGTATTCAATATACTGTGTGGGATATTCAGTATACTGTGAGGGGTATTCAGTATACTGTGTGGGGTATTCAGTATACTGTGTGGGATATTCAGTATACAGTGAGGGGTATTCAGTATACTGTGTGGGGTATTCAGTATACTGTGTGGGGTATTCAGTATACAGTGAGGGGTATTCAGTATACTGTGTGGGATATTCAGTATACTGTGAGGGGTATTCAGTATACTGTGAGGTATTCAGTATACTGTGAGGGATACACAGTATACTGTGTGGGGTATTCAGTATACTGTGTGGGGTATTCAGTATACAGTGAGGGGTATTCAGTATACTGTGTGGGGTATTCAATATACTGTGTGGGATATTCAGTATACTGTGTGGGGTATTCAGTATACTGTGTGGGGTATTCAGTATACAGTGAGGGGTATTCAGTATACTGTGTGGGGTATTCAATATACTGTGTGGGATATTCAGTATACTGTGAGGGGTATTCAGTATACTGTGAGGGGTATTCAGTATACTGTGAGGGATATTCAGTATACAGTGAGGGGTATTCAGTATACTGTGTGGGGTATTCAGTATACTGTGAGGGGTATTCAGTATACAGTGAGGGGTATTCAGTATACTGTGTGGGGTATTCAGTATACTGTGATGGATATTCAGTATACTGTGTGGGGTATTCAGTATACTGTGTGGGGTATTCAGTATACAGTGAGGGGTATTCAGTATACTGTGTGGGGTATTCAGTATACTGTGTGGGGTACACAGTATACTGTGTGGGGTACACAGTATACTGTGTGGGGTATTCAGTATACAGTGTGGGGTATTCAGTATACAGTGAGGGGTATTCAGTATACTGTGTGGGATATTCAGTATACTGTGAGGGGTATTCAGTATACTGTGAGGTATTCAGTATACTGTGAGGGATACACAGTATACTGTGTGGGGTATTCAGTATACTGTGTGGGGTATTCAGTATACAGTGAGGGGTATTCAGTATACTGTGTGGGGTATTCAATATACTGTGTGGGATATTCAGTATACTGTGAGGGGTATTCAGTATACTGTGTGGGGTATTCAGTATACTGTGTGGGATATTCAGTATACTATGAGGGATATTCAGTATACTGTGTGGGGTACACAGTATACTGTGTGGGGTATTCAGTATACTGTGTGGGGTATTCAGTATACTGTGAGGGGTATTCAGTATACTGTGTGGGGTATTCAGTATACTGTGTGGGATATTCAGTATACTGTGAGGGGTATTCAGTATACTGTGAGGTATTCAGTATACTGTGAGGGATACACAGTATACTGTGTGGGGTATTCAGTATACTGTGTGGGGTATTCAGTATACAGTGAGGGGTATTCAGTATACTGTGTGGGGTATTCAGTATACTGTGTGGGATATTCAGTATACTGTGTGGGGTATTCAGTATACTGAGTGGGATATCCAGTATACTGTGAGGGGTATTCAGTATACTGTGAGGGATATTCAGTATACAGTGAGGGGTATTCAGTATACTGTGTGGGGTATTCAGTATACTGTGAGGGATATTCAGTATACAGTGAGGGGTATTCAGTATACTGTGAGGTATTCAGTATACTGTGAGGGATATTCAGTATACTGTGTGGGGTATTCAGTATACTGTGTGGGGTATTCAGTATACAGTGAGGGGTATTCAGCATACTGTGTGGGGTATTCAATATACTGTGTGGGATATTCAGTATACTGTGAGGGGTATTCAGTATACTGTGTGGGGTATTCAGTATACTGTGTGGGATATTTAGTATACTGTGAGGGATATTCAGTATACTGTGTGGGGTACACAGTATACTGTGTGGGGTATTCAGTATACTGTGTGGGGTATTCAGTATACTGTGAGGGGTATTCAGTATACTGTGTGGGGTATTCAGTATACTGTGTGGGATATTCAGTATACTGTGAGGGGTATTCAGTATACTGTGAGGTATTCAGTATACTGTGAGGGATACACAGTATACTGTGTGGGGTATTCAGTATACTGTATGGGGTATTCAGTATACAGTGAGGGGTATTCAGTATACTGTGTGGGGTATTCAGTATACTGTGTGGGATATTCAGTATACTGTGTGGGGTATTCAGTATACTGTGTGGGGTATTCAGTATACTGTGTGGGGTATTCAGTATACTGTGTGGGGTACACAGTATACTGTGAGGGGTACACAGTATACTGTGTGGGGTACACAGTATACTGTGTGGGGTATTCAGTATACTCTGTGGGGTATTCAGTATACTATGTGGGGTATTCAGTATACTGTGTGGGGTATTCAGTATACTGTGTGGGGTATTCAGTATACTGTGAGGGGTACACAGTATACTGTGAGGGGACCTACCTTAGCCACATTTCTTGTCTCCCGCATCGTCTTCAATCTGGCCACCTGCTTCTGTAGTACCACAGTGTTGTCTATAGAGAGGACTTCCACTGTGTCCTGATCCTTCAATCGATATTTGTTCACGCCAACTATCACCTCTATAATATAGAAAGGTAATTCACAAAATTATGGTTCATTCCTTCTAAACTCTCACGGCAGGAGTATTAAACTGGCGACTATGCTTTGAAACATGTATTGACAGTTTCCTGATCTTGTAAGCGACGCTCTGTTTGGTCAGAGCAAAGGTTATTCTGACATGACCGGTAATGGGATGTCCTCAGATCTTTGTTTAGCAGTACCGAGAACTAAGATCTGTCTTTAATGAGATTGACATGGTTCTACATTGTCAGTGAACTGTAGCTATTTCAGTGAAAACAGAGATGACATGGATTTCAACTTCTTGCTTTTGTCAATTTTACTTAGAACCTCTACCAAGCACAGTTCACTTGCTTGATAAAGGTTCGGGCATCTGTACTGAACATCAACTTAAAGGAATGAAGAGGTAGAACCACTGTCAACTCTTTATTGACACTACAGCTTCCAATATGTAACTTAAAGACAAAAAAGCCACTTCAGCTTATACTTTATGTAAATGAACCAAAATGTTCGCAAAAGCTCAAGTATACACCATGATAAAATTTGACCACAAATGCACTGAACGTGTTAGAATTCAGGGTTAGAAACGAACAGTTTTCGTCCACTAGTCCTTATAATGATAACATATAGCAAAACCCTTAAAATGGGCCAATTTCTACTAGTCCTTTGGATACCTTTACTATTGGGCAGTTTGGTAAGGACTACAGGACTAGTGCCAATTTCTAACACTGTTAGATGTACACAGACCATGTTCTTTACTATTTATAGCGCAACCCTAACTAAGCTCCACCCACTGTGACTGAGGCAGAAGCACAAACATGACAGATTCGATTTTTCATGATAAAACTACAGATTATTTATTAACTTATATCTAGATATGGAGCCATTTGTGGTATCCAAGATTTGTCATTCAAGTTGATATGAACATGATGATGATGATAAAGTTTGCCGGTCTTAGGTGATCTTGTTTACGTACGGTTTTCAAAAAGCTTCTCTCGACACACTGAAACACCACCACCCAGCGAGCTATTTATAGTCAGAGAGGGCTTTAACAACTGTGCTGCTGCTGACCTGATTCACTGTCGATCCTGGCCTGTCTCTTGGCTGCACACTCCTCAATCTTCAGCTTAGGCATCCCAGATGCCACAGCCTTAGCCATTCCTCCCATCTCCTCAATCTGTGAATGCAGAGTGTGAAACCCTAGACACACAAGTAGTATAGACGATGGGGATTCTGGCTCACATCCATCTGGGTCAGAGCTAGACTTTAACAATGCACTATGGGGTTTGTATGTTTATACGAATTATGTGATGACGATCATCCATGCTGTACTTTGATAAGCAGTGGCTAAAATTTGCTTAGTAAAATATAGGAAATTTTAGCAAAATATACCAACTGCTTAGCAAAGTATAGCATGGATCGTCTAGGTCTGGCCCAGGTGGGAGTGAGCCATCGTCAACACTACACATGCACATTCTTCAGACAGTTGTGTACATCTGGAAAGTTTTGGGCCATGAAATTTCTACGGTTGTCGAACAATAGCCTTCAAGGGAAACAACTCTCCAGCTCTCAGTCGTCTAGCTGGCACCATGTTAATTTGCCAGCATATTCACTAGATGCAAATTAACGTCAGTGACCCAACTGATTGGGCTTCGAACAAGGAATGGGGCAGTTGGAGGGCCTCATTGACAGCAAGGGGAATCCCATTGACTCCCTGTGTTTGATTGGATGATGCTTACTATAACTTTTCACTGTGCAAATTTGTCTGATGTGTGAAAATATGGAGGTACAATTATGTAGTTTACTTACAGTAAAAATGTGTTGGTATTATTTTTTTCAACAATGAAGTTCAGTTCCTATACTCAAAACAGTAACAACCCATATTTATTTATGCATGTATGACACATTGTCATCCATGTTTCATGGTATAACCCTACACCTGTAAATTTGTCATCATTCTCTTATTGCTGAGTTAATGGCTTACCTGACAAAGACTATGCAAAATAACTCCACTGAGGCTGGATATATAGCAATCGGTGGTTTGCATTTCTGGTGTCTTGGGTAATGATTTAAAAATCTAAGATTGGGTCATAAAACCAGGTCTGATGTCATGGATGTATAACATGTTATGTAATATGCATGTGACAGCGTAGCAAGGGAGGAATGGTCAGTTGAGTTTAAAAAACTATCAATCAAAGGATTAGCCAATAATACATTGATTGATTTCTCATTGTCATCTAGACCGCCTCCGTGGTCTTGTGGTAGAGCGTCCGCCCGGAGAGCGGAGGGTCTGGGGTTCGATCCCCGGCCGCGTCATACCAAAAGATGTTAAAAGATGGTACTTGTTGTTACCCTGTCTGGCACTCAGCATTAAGGGGATAAAACAGGGACTGGTCGGCTCGGAGTCAGTATACTGTGTCTGAGTGGGGTATTCATGTTAAACTGCAGCATGGTATCTCAGTGGGCTAGCACTATAAATCGGCATCAGTCCGGACTAGTACAAGCAGCCACACACACACATGAATGCACGTCGCTATATAAGTGCAATAATCTTAGACGCGATGTTAAACCCAATTTCACCTAACCTCATTGTCATCTAACTCATGGGATTTTTTTAAACGAACCGTGGACATCATGGACAGCATTGTCACATGTGCTATCTCAGCTGACCAATGAGACATGACACCTGTGTGAAACACCTCAAACAACCTTACACGATCAGTTGAGAGATGAACACGAGTCAGAATATCCCGAAAGCCTAAATCCAACATCTTTATTTGCTCATAAATCACCACAAAATGAGCCAAATTGAAGCCAAGATTTAATTAGGAGAGCAGGAAGAGGCGTTTCAGGGGTGAGGAGTGTCAATTTTCAGAGCACCGCTAGGTGGCTACGTCACCATAGGTTTGGCCACTTTGTGGCCCCCACCATTTAGTTGTAGGCCAGTTAGTTCGGAGAATGGCCACTAACTTTATAAAGGAGCAAGCCCAGCTGGCTACATACAAATTTGTTGTTACTTCTACCCGTGGAACTTACCTCATTGATTAACTTGAGTGCTTCATCGTAGATGTCATTGGTGAGGTTTTCCATCATGTAGGACCCGCCCCAGGGGTCAGCCACCTGAGACATATAGTGGACAGTATTACAGTGAGGTGCCTCCATCTCCACCCCATTACAGGGACCCGCCCCAGGGGTCAGCCACCTGAGACATACAGTGCACAGTATTTCAGTAAGGTACCTCCATCTCCACCCCATTACAGGGACCCGCCCCAGGGGTCAGCCACCTGAGACATACAGTGCACAGTATTACAGTGAGGTACCTCCATCTCCGTCCCAATACAGAGACCTGCCCCAGGGGTCAGCCACCTGAGATATACAGTGCACAGTATTACAGTGAGGTGCCTCCGTCTCCCCCCCATTACAGGGACCCACCCCAGGGGTCAGCCACCTGAGACATACAGTGCCCAGTATTACAGTGAGGTACCTCCATCTCCACCCCATTACAGCGACCCGCCCCAGGGGTCAGCCACCTGAGACATACAGTGCACAGTATTACAGTGAGGTGCCTCCATCTCCACCCCATTACAGCGACCTGCCCCAGGGGTCAGCCACCTGAGACATACAGTGCACAGTATTACAGTGAGGTACCTCCATCTCCACCCCATTACAGGGACCAACCCCATTACAGGGACCCGCCCCAGGGGTCAGCCACCTGAGACATACAGTGCACAGTATTACAGTGAGGTACCTCCGTCTCCACCCCATTACAGGGACCCGCCCCAGGGGTCAGCCACCTGAGACATACAGTGCACAGTATTACAGTGAGGCACCTCCATCTCCACCCCATTACAGGGACCAACCCCATTACAGGGACCCGCCCCAGGGGTCATCCACCTGAGACATACAGTGCACAGTATTACAGTGAGGCACCTCCATCTCCACCCCATTACAGGGACCAACCCCATTACAGGGACCCGCCCCAGGGGTCATCCACCTGAGACATACAGTGCACAGTATTACAGTGAGGCACATCCATCTCCACCCTATTACAGGGACCCGCCCCAGGGGTCAGCCACCTGAGACATACAGTGCACAGTATTACAGTGAGGCACCTTCATCTCCACCCCATTACAGGGACCTGCCCAAGGGGTCAGCCACCTGAGACATACAGTGCACAGTATTACAGTGAGGCACCTCCATCTCCACCCCACTACAGGGACCCGCCCCAGGGATCAGCCACCTGAGACATACAGTGCCCAATATTGCAGTGAGGTGCCTCCATCTCCACCACATTACAGGGACCCGCCCCAGGGGTCAGCCACCTGAGACATACAGTGCACAGTATTACAGTGAGGTACCTCCATCTCCGCCCCATTACAGCAACCCGCCCCAGGGATCAGCCACCTGAGACATACACTATGATACAGTGCACAGTATTACAGTGAGGTGCCTGCATCTCCACCCCATTACAGGGACCCGCCCCAGGGGTCAGCCACCTGAGACATACAGTGCACAGTATTACAGTGAGGTACCTCCATCTCCACCCCATTACAGGGACCTGCCCCAGGGGTCATCCACCTGAGACATACAGTGCCCAGTATTACAGTGAGGCACCTCCATCTCCGCCCCATTACAGCAACCCGCCCCAGGGATCAGCCACCTGAGACATACACTATGATACAGTGCACAGTATTACAGTGAGGTACCTCCATCTCCGCCCCATTACAGCAACCCGCCCCAGGGATCAGCCACCTGAGACATACACTATGATACAGTGCACAGTATTACAGTGAGGTGCCTGCATCTCCACCCCATTACAGGGACCCGCCCAAGGGGTCAGCCACCTGAGACATACAGTGCCCAGTATTACAGTGAGGTATCTCCATCTCCACCCCATTACAGGGACCTGCCCCAGGGGTCATCCACCTGAGACATACAGTGCCCAGTATTACAGTGAGGTACCTCCATCTCCGCCCCATTACAGCAACCCGCCCCAGGGGTCAGCCACCTGAGACATACAGTGCACAGTATTACAGTGAGGTGTCTCCATCTCCACCCCATTACAGGGACCCGCCCCAGGGGTCAGCCACCTGAGACATACACTATGATACAGTGCACAGTATTACAGTGAGGTGCCTCCATCTCCACCCCATTACAGGGACCCGCCCCAGGGGTCAGCCACCTGAGACATACAGTGCACAGTATTACAGTGAGGTACCTCCATCTCCGCCCCATTACAGCAACCCGCCCCAGGGATCAGCCACCTGAGACATACACTATGATACAGTGCACAGTATTACAGTGAGGTGCCTGCATCTCCATCACATTACAGGGACCCGCCCCAGGGGTCAGCCACCTGAGACATACAGTGCACAGTATTACAGTGAGGTACCTCCATCTCCACCCCATTACAGGGACCTGCCCCAGGGGTCATCCACCTGAGACATACAGTGCCCAGTATTACAGTGAGGTACCTCCATCTCCACCCCATTACAGCAACCCGCCCCAGGGATCAGCCACCTGAGACATACACTATGATACAGTGCACAGTATTACAGTGAGGTACCTCCATCTCCGCCCCATTACAGCAACCCGCCCCAGGGATCAGCCACCTGAGACATACACTATGATACAGTGCACAGTATTACAGTGAGGTACCTCCATCTCCACCCCATTACAGCAACCCGCCCCAGGGATCAGCCACCTGAGACATACACTATGATACAGTGCACAGTATTACAGTGAGGTGCCTGCATCTCCACCACATTACAGGGACCCGCCCCAGGGGTCAGCCACCTGAGACATACAGTGCACAGTATTACAGTGAGGTACCTCCATCTCCACCCCATTACAGGGACCTGCCCCAGGGGTCATCCACCTGAGACATACAGTGCCCAGTATTACAGTGAGGTACCTCCATCTCCACCCCATTACAGCAACCCGCCCCAGGGATCAGCCACCTGAGACATACACTATGATACAGTGCACAGTATTACAGTGAGGTACCTCCATCTCCGCCCCATTACAGCAACCCGCCCCAGGGATCAGCCACCTGAGACATACACTATGATACAGTGCACAGTATTACAGTGAGGTACCTCCATCTCCACCCCATTACAGCAACCCGCCCCAGGGATCAGCCACCTGAGACATACACTATGATACAGTGCACAGTATTACAGTGAGGTGCCTGCATCTCCACCCCATTACAGGGACCCGCCCAAGGGGTCAGCCACCTGAGACATACAGTGCACAGTATTACAGTGAGGTGCCTGCATCTCCACCCCATTACAGGGACCCGCCCAAGGGGTCAGCCACCTGAGACATACAGTGCCCAGTATTACAGTGAGGTACCTCCATCTCCACCCCATTACAGGGACCTGCCCCAGGGGTCATCCACCTGAGACATACAGTGCCCAGTATTACAGTGAGGTACCTCCATCTCCGCCCCATTACAGCAACCCGCCCCAGGGGTCAGCCACCTGAGACATACAGTGCACAGTATTACAGTGAGGTGTCTCCATCTCCACCCCATTACAGGGACCCGCCCCAGGGGTCAGCCACCTGAGACATACACTATGATACAGTGCACAGTATTACAGTGAGGTGCCTCCATCTCCACCCCATTACAGGGACCCGCCCCAGGGGTCAGCCACCTGAGACATACAGTGCACAGTATTACAGTGAGGTACCTCCATCTCCGCCCCATTACAGCAACCCGCCCCAGGGATCAGCCACCTGAGACATACACTATGATACAGTGCACAGTATTACAGTGAGGTGCCTGCATCTCCACCACATTACAGGGACCCGCCCCAGGGGTCAGCCACCTGAGACATACAGTGCACAGTATTACAGTGAGGTACCTCCATCTCCACCCCATTACAGGGACCTGCCCCAGGGGTCATCCACCTGAGACATACAGTGCCCAGTATTACAGTGAGGTACCTCCATCTCCACCCCATTACAGGGACCTGCCCCAGGGGTCATCCACCTGAGACATACAGTGCCCAGTATTACAGTGAGGTACCTCCATCTCCACCCCATTACAGCGACCCGCCCCAGGGGTCAGCCACCTGAGACATACAGTGCACAGTATTACAGTGAGGTGCCTCCATCTCCACCACATTACAGCAACCCGCCCCAGGGATCAGCCACCTGAGACATACACTATGATACAGTGCACAGTATTACAGTGAGGTGCCTGCATCTCCACCCCATTACAGGGACCTGCCCCAGGGGTCATCCACCTGAGACATACAGTGCCCAGTATTACAGTGAGGTACCTCCATCTCCACCCCATTACAGCGACCCGCCCCAGGGGTCAGCCACCTGAGACATACAGTGCACAGTATTACAGTGAGGTGCCTCCATCTCCACCACATTACAGCAACCCGCCCCAGGGATCAGCCACCTGAGACATACACTATGATACAGTGCACAGTATTACAGTGAGGTGCCTGCATCTCCACCCCATTACAGGGACCTGCCCCAGGGGTCAGCCACCTGAGACATACAGTGCACAGTATTACAGTGAGGTGCCTCCATCTCCATCCCATTACAGGGACCAACCCCATTACAGGGACCCGCCCCAGGGGTCAGCCACCTGAGACATACAGTGCACAGTATTACAGTGAGGTGCCTGCATCTCCACCCCATTACAGGGACCCGCCCCAGGGGTCAGCCACCTGAGACATACAGTGCACAGTATTACAGTGAGGTGCCTCCATCTCCACCCCATTACAGGGACCCGCCCCAGGGGTCAGCCACCTGAGACATACAGTGCACAGTATTACAGTGAGGTACCCGTGAAGATCCAGGGTAGAATAGGTCTTCAGTAACCCATGCTTGCCATAAAATGTTTGTCGTAAGAGGCGACTAATGGGATCGGGTGGTCAGGCTCACTGACTTGGTTGATAGATGTCATCAATCCGCATTGCTCGGATTGAAGCTTATGATGTCAATCACAGGATTGTCTGGTCCAGGCTCAATTTTTTACAGACCACAGTCATATAGCTGTAATATTGCCGAATGTGGCGTTGAAAAACAAACTATTTACTCTACCTCCATCTCTACCCCGTTACAGCAATAGCAAGATTGGCTGTGATTTGGGGGATTCCTTAAGCAAATATTAGAAACAAATTTGAACAATATTGGCTGCGTAATGGCCTTAAGACGTTTCAACTTTCTGTAAGGTCAAAGTGCAAAGTTCAAGTCAAAGTCATGAGGGACATATATGTTGAGCCCCACGACTGATTACACATCTACCAAATTTCACTAAAACAGGGCTGTCAAGGCAGCCATTTTGAAATTCTGATTTGAACTTCTTGAACAAATTGAGGTTACATCATTCGTGAAAACAATCACATGAAGTTTCAGTTTCATTGTTACAGTGGGTCCTGAGTTGAAGATGTTACGGCAGAAGACAAATGACATATGACAGACAACTGATGCAGGAAAAGGAGGCCATGACATAAGCTTACTTTACATTCAGCTGAAATATGCCAAACTACGTATTACCATATTCCGACGTAATAAGCGCCCAGGATGCTCTCAAAATTAGAAATATGTCAAGCATTGTTAATCTCCCTTACATTAAAAACAAAATCTCAGGTTTCTTTAAAATATGTTCCCTGGGCAGTTATTATGTGTCTATGTTATAAGAAGACCTACATTAGGAATTCCAGACTCTTCCTGCAGGATGATCTGTGTGTTTCTCGCTATCCTGGCACTGAATGGCGTCGGCAGTCCAAGAGCTTCATCGAAAGAGTTGGTGTGTAGAGACTGTGTGCCCCCAAACACCCCCGACATCGCCTCCACCACTGTGCGGATGATGTTGTTGTACGGATCCTGAGTCGAAAGATTTAATATTATGATGAACTGACTGTCCTTTCCATGGAACTGATATTGGGCGAGGTGACATTTAATAAATAGGAAGATATACGAAGCTAACTTTTCTGTCAATGCTGGCAGTCTTTCAAAATAATTATGAAGAAATCAACGCTGTATTGGTGGTAGATTGTAAACATAACCTGGACTGAAAAAATAGAAACCACAGACACATATCTGTCTATCACTGAGGGCACCCACCTGTTCTGTGAGGGACCAGCCAGAAGTCTGACAGTGAGCTCGCAGTAATTCAGACTTTCCTAGGAATCCACAGACACATATGTGTCTATCACTGAGGGCACCCACCTGTTCTGTGAGGGACTAGCCAGAAGTCTGACAGTGAGCTCGCAGTAATTCAGACTTTCCTAGGAATCCACAGACACATATGTGTCTATCACTGAAGGCACCCACCTGTTCTGTGAGGGACCAGCCAGAAGTCTGACAGTGAGCTCGCAGTAATTCAGACTTTCCAAGGAATCCACAGACACATTTCTGTCTATCACTGAAGGCACCCACCTGTTCTGTGAGGGACCAGCCAGAAGTCTGACAGTGAGCTCGCAGTAATTCAGACTTTCCCAGGAATCCACAGACACATATGTGTCTATCACTGAAGGCACCCACCTGTTCTGTGAGGGACCAGCCAGAAGTCTGACAGTGAGCTCGCAGTAATTCAGACTTTCCTAGGAATCCACAGACACATATCTGTCTATCACTGAAGGCACCCACCTGTTCTGTGGGGGACCAGCCAGAAGTCTGACAGTGAGCTCGCAGTAATTCAGACTTTCCCAGGAATCCACAGACACATATGTGTCTATCACTGAAGGCACCCACCTGTTCGGTGAGGGACCAGCCAGAAGTCTGACAGTGAGCTCGCAGTAATTCAGACTTTCCTAGGAATCCACAGACACATATGTGTCTATCACTGAAGGCACCCACCTGTTCGGTGAGGGACCAGCCAGAAGTCTGACAGTGAGCTCGCAGTAATTCAGACTTTCCTAGGAATCCACAGACACATATGTGTCTATCACTGAAGGCACCCACCTGTTCTGTGAGGGACCAGCCAGAAGTCTGACAGTGAGCTCGCAGTAATTCAGACTTTCCTAGGAATCCACAGACACATATCTGTCTATCACTGAAGGCACCCACCTGTTCTGTGAGGGACCAGCCAGAAGTCTGACAGTGAGCTCGCAGTAATTCAGACTTTCCCAGGAATCCACAGACACATATCTGTCCATCACTGAGGGCACCCACCTGTTCTGTGAGGGACCAACCAGAAGTCTGACAGTGAGCTCGCAGTAATTCAGACTTTCCTAGGAATCCACCGACACATATGTGTCTATCACTGAAGGCATCCACCTGTTCTGTGAGGGACCAGCCAGAAGTCTGACAGTGAGCTCGCAGTAATTCTGACTTTCCTAGGAATCAACAGACACATATCTGTCTATCACTGAGGGCACCCACCTGTTCTGTGAGGGACCAGCCAGAAGTCTGACAGTGAGCTCGCAGTAATTCTGACTTTCCTAGGAATCCACAGACACATATCTGTCTATCACTGAAGGCATCCACCTGTTCTGTGAGGGACCAGCCAGAAGTCTGACAATAACCTCGCAGTAATTCAGACTTTCCTAGGAATCCACAGACACATATCTGTCTATCACTGAAGGCACCCACCTGTTCTGTGAGGGACCAGCCAGAAATCTGACAGTGAGCTCGCAGTAATTCTGACTTTCCTAGGAATCCACAGACACATATCTGTCTATCACTGAAGGCATCCACCTGTTCTGTGAGGGACCAGCCAGAAGTCTGACAGTGAGCTCGCAGTAATTCTGACTTTCCTAGGAATCCACAGACACATATCTGTCTATCACTGAAGGCATCCACCTGTTCTGTGAGGGACCAGCCAGAAGTCTGACAGTGAGCTCGCAGTAATTCTGACTTTCCTAGGAATCCACAGACACATATCTGTCTATCACTGAAGGCACCCACCTGTTCTGTGAGGGACCAGCCAGAAGTCTGACAGTGAGCTCGCAGTAACTCTGACTTGGGGTTCTTGGGCTGGAACTTCTCCCTCACCAAGTTGGACCAAAGGCGCCTGGCTGCTCGCATCTTCGCAATCTCCTGAGTGGAGGGAAATGTTCATGTAGTTACAGAAGTGTTTCTTCTAACTATAAGGTTGTATATTGGTGACTGTTACACTCACAATTTGATGCAATAACACACTTTGCATCTTCTCTGTTAGGGTCCATCACACATGATTTAATCACAGTAAGATTCTTTCCATGTTTAAATGAGGATTCCATGTCTTACTGTAACTGAAAGCTTGGTGTATTACTGTGTAAGCACCGTTTTACTGTCTGTGAAAGCACCAATGTACCGTATGTAAAAGCACCATGTTTTACTGTATGTAAAAGCACTTTTTTTCACTGTATGTAAAAGCGCCGTATTTACAGTGCATGAAAGCACCATGTTTTACCATACGTAAAAAGCAATCAGTTTTACTGTGCATAAAAACACCCTGTTTTACTGTACATAAAAGCACCCTGTCTTACTGTACGTAAAAGCACCCTGTTTTACTGTACGGGAAAGCACCCTGTTTTACTGTAGTGAAAGCACCCTGTTTTACTGTAGTGAAAGCACCCTGTTTTACTGTAGTGAAAGCACCCTGTTTTACTGAAGTGAAGGCACACTGTTTTACTGTAGTGAAGGCACACTGTTTTACTGTAGTGAAAGCACCCTGTTTTACTGTACATGAAACCACCCTGTTTTACTGTAGTGAAAGCACCATGTTTTACTGTACGTGAAAGCACCGTTTTACTGTACATGAAAGCACTATGTTTTACTGTTGTGAAATCACCCTGTTTTACTGTACGTGAAAGCACCCTGTTTTACTGTTTGTAAAAGCACAATTTGTTACTGTACGTGAAAGCACCCTGTTTTACTGTTTGTAAAAGCACCATTTTTTACTGTACTTGAAAACACCGTTTTACTGTACGTGGAAGCACCATGTTTTACAATGCACCACGTTTTACTGTACGTGAAAGAACCATGTTTTACTGTAGTGAAAGCACCCTGTTTTACTGTTGCGAAAGCACCCTGTTTTACTGTACGTGAAAGCACCCTGTTTTACTGTTTGTAAAAGCACCATGTTTTACTGTAGTGAAAGCACCATGTTTTACTGTTGTGAAAGCACCCTGTTTTTCTGTACGTGAAAACAACCAGTTTTACTGTATGTGAAAGAACCATGTTTTTCTGTAGTGAAAGCACCATGTTTTACTGTACGTGAAAGCACCCTGTTTTACTGTTTGTAAAAGCACCATGTTTTACTGTAGTGAAAGCACCATGTTTTACTGTTGTGAAAGCACCCTGTTTTACTGCACGTGAAAACACCCTGTTTTACTGTACGTGAAAGAACCATGTTTTACTGTAGTGAAAGCACCATGTTTTACTGTACGTGAAAGCACCCTGTTTCACTGTACGTGAAAGCACCGTTTTACTGTACGTAAAAGCACAGTTTTACTGTAGTGAAAGCACCCTGTTTTACTGCATGTGAAAGCACCTGTTTTACTGTTGTGAAAGCACCCTGTTTCCATGTACGTACAAGCACTCTGTTTTACTGTACCTGAAAGCACCCTGTTTTACTGCAAATGAAAACACCATTTATTACTGTTTTACCTACCATGTAGAAGTTCATGCCAAGACCCCAGAAGAAAGACAATCTTGGAACAAATTTGTCCACATCTAAACCCCGACTGACACCTGATAAAAGAACAAAGCCAATTGCAAAACATGAAGAGCTTGGTAAAAACATTTTTATTGGAAGTTGCAAGTAACACCCTTGTCTTGTCTTCTTACCTCTTTCCAAAGTGAGTGCATGGATTTAGTTTGAAAGACACTTTGAACAGTATTTCAGTTATAACACAGAGTCTCAGCTGGGGGAGGAAACACCAAAGACCCAGGTTTCATTCCCGACATGGCTTCAATATTCTATGGCTGGAATATTACTAAAAGCAGAGTAAAACAATATTCACTCTCTCACAGAAGGAGATCAACTGAAAAAAATCTCATTTCAGGAACGTTTTCCACGAATCTGTGTATCATTTATTGTGTGTATAGCATATTAGCTATGATACAGGCTTAAATAGATAGTTACTACCTCTTAACGGTAGTTCGCTGGGAGGCACATACTCATTGGAATCAGATCTTGTGCTAGATTTGGTCTTCAGAAGCCCACTCAATCACTCCAAAGGAGACTCCCAAGGAGACTCCCAAGGAGACTCCCAAGGACGCTCCCAAGGGAACTCCCAAGGAGATTCCCAAGGACACTCCCAAGGAGACTCCAAAGGATACTCACAAGGAGACTCACAAGGAGACTCACAAGGACACTCCCAAGGGGACTCCCAAGGACACTCCCAAGGAGACTCCCAAGGAAACTCCCAAGGACACTCCCAAGGAAACTCCAAAGGAGACTCCGAAGGACACTCCCAAAAGGAGACTCCAAATGATACTCACAAGGACGCTCCCAAGGATGCTCCCAAGTAGGCTCCCAAGGAGATTCCCAAAAGGAGACTCCCAAGGAGAATCCCAAGGAGAGTCACAAGGATACTCCCAAGGACACTCCCAAGGAGATTCACAAGGAGACTCCCAAGGATACTCCCAAGGAAACTCACAAGGAGACTCACAAGGACACTGACAAGGAGACTCCCAAGGAGACTCACAAGGACACTACCAAGGACACTCACAAGGATACTCCCAAGGACACTCCTAAGGAGACTCACAAGGAAACTCACAAGGAGACTCCCAAGGACACTCACAAGGAGACTCCGGAGGAGACTCCCAAGGAGACTCACAAGGACACTCACAAGGACACTGACAAGGAGACTCCCAAGGAGACTCACAAGGACACTACCAAGGACGCTCCCAAGGACACTCCTAAGGAGACTCACAAGGAGACTCCCAAGGAGACTCCCAAGGAGACTCACAAGGAGACTCACAAGGAAACTCACAAGGACACTACCAAGGACGCTCCCAAGGAGACTCACAAGGAGACTCCCAAGGATACTCCCAAGGACACTCCTAAGGAGACTCACAAGGAAACTCACAAGGACACTCCTAAGGATACTCACAAGGAAACTCCCAAGGAGACTCACAAGGAAACTCACAAGGACACTACCAAGGACGCTCCCAAGGATACTCCCAAGGACACTCCTAAGGAGACTCACAAGGAGACTCACAAGGAGACTCCCAAGGATATTCCCAAGGACACTCCCAAGGAGAATCCCAAGGAGACTCCCAAGGAGACTCCCAAGGACACTCCCAAGGAGACTCACAAGGAGACTCACAAGGAGAGTGTAAGGCATCTACCCCATGTACTATGGTGTACACACCTGTCCTGATGTACTCCAGCCCATCAGCGATAGTGAAAGCTAGCTCGATGACGGCATCCGCCCCCGCCTCCTGCATGTGGTAGCCGGAGATGGAGATGGAGTTGAACTTGGGCATGTTCTGTGGAGGAAGATAGCATACAGGACGAGGATTTCCACTACACTCAGCTTCACTGTCTTCAGTGACACATTATTTATATTATTAGTAATAATTCATTCCATCATGTTCAACTCTGCCATGATACCGGAATACCTGATGTCATAAAATAGGAGAGCTCTACATTCATCATGATCATTCGGTCGATTATATTTCAGGGATTTTTTCTGTGCTACCCGGTACATAATCCAAAGTATCCTGTGAAAATTAACCTTTTGAAATAATTTTTTTGGGTCAGATTACATTCTGTTTTCATCCATTCATCATATCTTTTTGAGCTGATTTGCATCTGGGCCCACTTGCACAAAGCGATCTTAGCGCTAAGACTATTGTAAGCCTATGTTAATGTGTGGGAGTTACGATCATCTTAGTCTTAAGATCGCTTTATGCAAGTGGGCCCTGAACTACTTGCCAAATGCAGATCTGAAAACACCAATTCCTGCCAGCTTCCGGATTCAAGAAAGGAGACAGGCCTGTTTTTAGACATTCGACAGTGACAAAATCCTGGACACATGTAGGGCCTGTTACTAAGTCTTTGAGAGGCATTTAGAAGTGATACACATAAGGATGGATGTCAACTTCTTTATTATGAGTAACAGAGTGGAACAAACTGATTCCGGTGTAAACCATTTCAAATTTGAAAATCAACTTATTAAAAAATGTTCACTTTCTTTATGGAGCTTCATGGAGAAAGACATGGGCAAACCTTTGATGTGTACTCGAAGATATCCCCGATGATCTTCATGGAGGGCTCCGGGGGGAAGATGTAGGTGTTCCGCACCATGAACTCTTTCAGGATGTCATTCTGTATGGTCCCGGTAAGCTGGTCCTGTGACGCTCCCTGAATACACACCACACCATAACACTGTACACAGCAATATTCCAGCTATATTACGCTCTCTGAGTGAATGAGTATGGTTTTTACGCCGCTTTTAGCAATATTCCAGCTATATCACGGCAGGGGCAATATTCCAGCTATATTACACTCCCTGAATACACACCACACTAGAACACTGTACACAGCAATATTCCAGCAATATTACACTCCCTTAATACACACCACACTAGAACACTGTACACAGCAATATTCCAGCTATATAACACTCCCTGAATACACACCACACCATAACACTGTACACAGCAATATTCCAGCTATATCACACTCCCTGGAGACACACCACACCATAACACTGTACACAGGAAGTCCACACTGTATAATACACACCATACACAATGTCAACGTAGGAAAGTATACAATATCATGGCTGAAAATGCTGAACTCTAACAACAATTCCAATATAGGGAAATACTTTTGAAAATATGTCTCATTGCAAATATTCAACGTAATCACAATCTCAAATGAAGTCATGTTGTGAATAAGTAAGTGATTTCACCAACGTGGTAAACGTCTAAGACCTGCATCCCTTCGGGCTTTCCTCCCACATTAAGCTGACACGCCGTGATATAATACTGTTCCAAGCAGCATTAAACCCAACTCACCTGTTCCTCAGCAGCAACCACGAACATAGCCAGGACTGGCAGCACGGCTCCATTCATCGTCATGGACGTGGAGAGTTTGGACAGTGGGATGCCATCAAACAGCAGCTTCATGTCCTCCACAGAGTCTATAGCAACCCCAGCCATGCCAACATCGCCAACAACACGGGGATTGTCAGAGTCATAGCTGTAACAACATCAGTTGCTTTTAAAGCAAGTGAGGTGAAATCCAATCTAACATCGCTTTCAAGATTATTTTACACATACAGCCACATGGATGTATGTGTGTCTGCTTGGACCAATCTGGACTTGTCTCAGTTATTTAGTCCTAGCCCAATCAGATACCATGCCGCAGTTTAACATGGGTACCCCACGTAGTATACTGTTTCTTTGTTTGTTGTTTTATGCCACACTCAACAATATTCCAGCTATATGACGGCTGTCTGAAATTAATCGAGTCTGGACCACACAATCCAGTGATTGATATCGTGAGCATCGATCCACAGTATACTGAATATCCCACACAGTATACTGAATACCTCACACAGTATATTGAATACCCAACACAGTATACTGAATATCCCACACAGTATACTGAATACCCCTCACAGTATACTGAATATCCCACACAGTATATTGAATATCCAACACAGTATACTGAATATCCCACACAGTATACTGAATACCCCACACAGTATATTGAATACCCCACACAGTATACTGAATACCCCACACAGTATACTGAATATCCCACACAGTATACTGAATACCCCACACAGTATACTGAATACCCCACACAGTATACTGAATATCCCACACAGTATATTGAATATCCCACACAGTATACTGAATACCCCACACAGTATATTGAATATCCCACACAGTATACTGAATATCCCACACAGTATATTGAATATCCTACACAGTATACTGAATATCCCACACAGTATACTGAATACCCCACACAGTATACTGAATACCCCACAGAGTATACTGAATACCCCACACAATATACTGAATACCCCACACAGTATACTGAATACCCCTCACAGTATACTGAATACCCCACACAGTATACTGAATACCCCACACAGTATACTGAATACCCCACACAGTATACTGAATACCCCACACAGTATACTGAATACCCAACACAGGATGTTGAATATCCCACACAGTATACTGAATACCCCACACAGTATACTGAATACCCCACACAGTATACTGAATACCCCTCACAGTATACTGAATACCCCACACAGTATACTGAATATCCCACACAGTATATTGAATACCCCACACAGTATACTGAATATGCAATACAGTATACTGAATATCTCAAAAAAGTATACTGAATACCCCACACAGTATACTGAATACCCCTCACAGTATACTGAATATCCCACACAGTATACTGAATATCCCACACAGTATATTGAATATCCCACACAGTATACTGAATATCCCAAACAGTATATTGAATACCCAACACAGTATATTGAATATCCCACACAGTATACTGAATACCCCTCACAGTATACTGAATACCCCTCACAGTATACTGAATACCCCCCACAGTATATTGAATATCCCACACAGTATACTGAATACCCCACACAGTATACTGAATACCCCTAACAGTATACTGAATACCCCTCACAGAATTATCATGGAACTGTTCTAGGTGAACAATACCTTCCAAATGACGTGCTGGTTTTCTTGGGGAATTAGTCAGCAAAGAGCCAGAGTCACAGGAGACTAATCACAATTTTATTTACAAGAACAATTAACAATTTACAATATCTTAGAAAATAACTGAGGGTGCCACAGAGAGTCGGTACACACTCTGGGCTGAGGGAGAGAGGTCTGCTTGGTAAGAGAGTCAAACCCCTTCTCTGCTTAAAACCTGCCTACAGTATATATTTAACAAAAATTTAAACAATAGAAAGGAATGTGATTGGATGATACACGCTTGGTTGTGTCCTAAGCTAAATGGATGGCTAGACAGAGGGGAATACTAAATCCTGTTTATCCTGTTGGACTGGCACTAATCTTGTTGACATATTTACTGGATGCTTTGAAAGAGATTAGGGTGTCACTATAGATGAGCTTGTGTGGGGGCTAATCCTTAATGCCCTATAGACGAGCTTGTATGGGGGCTAATCCTTAATGCACTATAGACGAGCTTGTATGGGGGCTAATCCTTAATGAGTCTTAATTGAAGTAATGTTATTCTAATATACCCCGGTAGGTGATGACAGATATACTTAAATAAATATCCTTTGTCTGGGAGATGGGATCTTGATACCTTAGGCTAGCATTTATCTAAAAGCTTCAAATCAATTAAACTATGTAGACGTAACTCTTGTCTTATTGAATAGTATGTCTAGAAGACGCGCTCCCATTACCTTAGGCTAGCAACCATCTAAAAAGCTTTAACTGAAACTACTGATATTTTAAATATGCATTTTACCTAATGATAATTATTACTTGCTAAAACTACAATTATATGAAATGATGTATAAATATTACATCATGATAACTCATAAAAGCACTTGATGTAGATCTAATTATTATAATAACTTAGTATAAATGTTATCCCATGATAACTTCTGCTTTTATGAGTTATCATGATGTAATATTTATACATCATTTCATATAATTGTAGTTTTAGCAAGTAATAATTATCATTAGGTAAAATGCATATATAAAATATGTGCATTTTACCTAATGATAATTATTACTTGCTAAAACTACAATTATATGAAATGATGTATAAATATTACATCATGATAACTCATAAAAGCACTTGATGTAGATCTAATTATTATAATAACTTAGTATAAATGTTATCCCATGATAGTATACTGAATATCCCACACAGTATATTGAATATCCCACACAGTATACTGAATACCCCTCACAGTATACTGAATATCCCACACAGTATATTGAATATCCCACACAGTATACTGAATATCCCGCACAGTATACTGAATACCCCTCACAGTATATTGAATATCCCACAGTATACTGAATACCCCTCACAGTATACTGAATATCCCACACAGTGTATTGAATATCCCACACAGTATACTGAATATCCCACACAGTATACTGAATACCCCACACAGTATACTGAATACCCCACACAGTATACTGAATATCCCACACAGTATATTGAATATCCCACACAGTATACTGAATACCCCACACAGTATACTGAATACCCCACACAGTATACTGAATATCCCACACAGTATATTGAATATCCCACACAGTATACTGAATATCCCACACAGTATACTGAATACCCCACACAGTATACTGAATACCCCACAGAGTATACTGAATACCCCACACAATATACTGAATACCCCACACAGTATACTGAATACCCCTCACAGTATACTGAATACCCCACACAGTATACTGAATACCCCACACAGTATACTGAATACCCCACACAGTATACTGAATACCCCACACAGTATACTGAATACCCCACACAGTATACTGAATACCCCACACAGGATGTTGAATATCCCACACAGTATACTGAATACCCCACACAGTATACTGAATACCCCACACAGTATACTGAATACCCCTCACAGTATACTGAATACCCCACACAGTATACTGAATATCCCACACAGTATATTGAATACCCCACACAGTATACTGAATATGCAATACAGTATACTGAATATCTCAAAAAAGTATACTGAATACCCCACACAGTATACTGAATACCCCTCACAGTATACTGAATATCCCACACAGTATACTGAATATCCCACACAGTATATTGAATATCCCACACAGTATACTGAATACCCCACACAGTATATTGAATACCCAACACAGTATATTGAATATCCCACACAGTATACTGAATACCCCTCACAGTATACTGAATACCCCTCACAGTATACTGAATACCCCCCACAGTATATTGAATATCCCACACAGTATACTGAATACCCCTCACAGTATACTGAATATCCCACACAGTATATTGAATATCCCACACAGTATACTGAATATCCCACACAGTATACTGAATACCCCTCACAGTATATTGAATATCCCACAGTATACTGAATACCCCTCACAGTATACTGAATATCCCACACAGTGTATTGAATATCCCACACAGTATACTGAATATCCCACACAGTATACTGAATACCCCACACAGTATACTGAATATCCCACACAGTATACTGAATACCCCACACAGTATACTGAATACCCCACACAGTATACTGAATACCCCTCACAGTATGCTGAATATCCCACACAGTATACTGAATATCCCACACAGTATATTCAATACCCCACACAGTATACTGAATATCCCACACAGTATATTGAATACCCCACACAGTATATTGAATATCCCACACAGTATACTGAATACCCCTCACAGTATACTGAATACCCCTCACAGTATACTGAATACCCCACACAGTATACTGAATACCCCTCACAGTATACTGAATACCCCTCACAGTATACTGAATATCCCACACAGTATACTGAATATCCCACACAGTATATTGAATACCCCACACAGTATACTGAATACCCCACACAGTATATTGAATATCCCACACAGTATACTGAATATCCCACACAGTATACTGAATACCCCTCACAGTATACTGAATACCCCACACAGTATACTGAATATCCAATACAGTATACTGAATATCCCTCACAGTATACTGAATACCCCATACAGTATACTGAATACCCCACACAGTATACTGAATATCCCAAACAGTATACTGAATACCCCACACAGTATACTGAATACCCCATACAGTATACTGAATATCCCACACAGTATACTGAACACCCCACACAGTATACTGAATATCCCAAACAGTATACTGAATACCCCACACAGTATACTGAATATCCCACACAGTATACTGAATACCCCTCACAGTATACTGAATACCCCACACAGTATACTGAATACCCCACACAGTATACTGAATACCCCATACAGTATGCTGAATATCCCACAGTATACTGAATACCTCACAGTATACTGAATACCCAACACAGTATACTGAATACCCCACACAGTATATTGAATACCCCACACAGTATACTGAATATCCCACACAGTATACTGAATATCCCACACAGTATACTGAATACCTCACAGTATACTGAATACCCCACACAGTATACTGAATACCCCACACAGTATACTGAATACCCCATACAGTATGCTGAATACCTCACAGTATACTGAATACCCCACACAGTATACTGAATACCCCACACAGTATGCTGAATACCCCACACAGTATACTGAATATCCCACACAGTATACTGAATATCCCACACAGTATACTGAATACCTCACAGTATACTGAATACCCCACACAGTATACTGAATACCCCATACAGTATACTGAATATCCCACACAGTATACTGAATACCCCACACAGGATAATACTACATCAAGACTACAGGATCTACATCATTTAATCACTTAGGACAGATAATTCACACTTTGGCTCAGCTCAGAAGGCTGCTCTTTTTCTTCATCTTCCAGTACATTCTGAAGGACAGACTGTCATTATGTTGTTTGTTTGTTTGTTTGTTTGTAATGCCGCACTCAGCAATATTCAAACTATATGACTGTGGTCTGTGAATAATTGAGTCTGGACCAGACAATCCAGTGATAGACATCATGAGCAATGATCCACGCAATTGGGATCGATGACATGCATCAGCCAAGTCAGCGAGCCTGACCACCCAATCCCGTTAGTCGGCTCTTACGACAAGCATCGTCGACGTCGCCTCTTATGTCAAGCATGGGTTGTTGAAGACCTATTCTACCCTGGATTTTCAAAGGTCGACTGTCATTATGTGACACAAGCAAGATCAACACATAGTTTCAAATATATCACGGGCCATGCTTCAATAAAACAATGTGGAAGTGAGTGAGTGAATATGGTTTTACCCCGCTTTTAGCAATATCACGGTGGGAGACACCTGAAATGGGCTTCACACATTGTACCCATGTGGGGAATCAAACTCGGGTCTTTGGCATGACGAGCAAAAGCACTGACCACGAGGCTAACCCACCACCCCACAATATATAAGTATGCTCTCCAAAAGGCATATACAACAGAGTACAAAAAACAACATTTTAGAGAGAACAGTAAACTATGGTCAAAACGAACTCAAAGGGACCATTAATTATAGTTTGTTATAACCGTAGTTCGTTATAAGCATATATACAGCAAATGTCCGGGACAAAAAAAAAACAGTTTGTTATATATATGTCAATTCGTTATAAGCGTGTTCGTTATAAAAATATATACAGCAAATTGCCGGGACTAAAAACACCAGTTCGTCAAATCTGTCAGTTCGTTGTAAGCGTGTTCGTTATAAACATAGTTCACTGTATTCAAGTTGTTGCAGTCTTTGATGTCCTGCTCACCCTCTGTGTGTGGCGAGGTCGAAGGCGACGCTCAGACCCTGCTGGCCTCCTGCGATGTTGTCCCGGTAGAACTTGTTGCTCTCTTCCACAGTGCTGAATCCTGCATACTGAAGACCATGTTCAGTAAGACATGGTAAAACACAAACCTCAGGACACTGTTGAAAGTTGTTTGTTTGCATGTTGTTGAACGCCGCACTCAGCAATATTCCAGCTATATGACGGCGGTCTGTAAATAATCAAGTCTGGACCAGACAATCCAGTGATTGATATCATGAGCATTGATCTACGCAATTGGGATCGATGACATGCATCAACCAAGTCAGCGAGCCTGACCACCCGATCCCGTTAGTCGCCTCTTACGACAAGCATAGTCACCTTTTAGGGCAAGTATGGGTTCCTGAAGACCGATTCTACTCAGGATCTTCATGGGTCCAGGAGACTGTTGAAAGTTGTTTGTTATATCTGTTGTCAGCTACCATGCTTGCCATTTTAGAGTTCGCCATTGATATACATATCATTCACGGTCTTGTAAAATGAAACTACAGTAAAACACTGTTGTGTCCACCTACATAATTACTTGAACATATACTGAACCGCAAAAGAAACGTCACCATGGCTAGATATATGAGAAACCTTATTTGTCCAACATGTATGTGAACATACTTTGAGACATAACAAAAAGATGAAACTTGGCAAAACTGATCATCAAGGTTGAAATTAAAGTGTCAAATGTTCTTAAAGTGAAACAAAACACTAGTCTCTGAGAAAATGGCATCACAAGTCAGTATGTCATGTGTCAGCCATGTGCATTGATGACTGCCGTGCAACGTCAATACATGGAATGGATGAGGCGGTTCATGAAGGCCATAGGCACTTGAGCACACACACTTATGAACGCCTGACGCAGTTCAGCTGTAGTTGTCGGCCTTGGTCGGACGTCTTTCAGTCGTCTTTGAATCTCGTCCCACAGGTGCTCAATGGGATTTAAATCGGGACTGAGGTAGGCCACCGCCTGTTTCTGATGCCATTCTGCTGGAGGAAGTCTTGTGTTGCTCTCGCAGTGTGGGCTCGGGAGTTATCATGCTGAAACTCGTGGTTGTGGCGATGTGCCAAATGAGGTATGGCGTGTGGTCTCAAGACTTGATCAATGTGCCGAGCTGTTGTGACACCATTGCCTCTCCCTGGACCAAAATGTTCTGGAAGACCACAGGGCCGACCCTCTGTGCAAGACCAATTCCACCCCACGAGTCTCTCTCAACAACAGGCGCCTCCGTGGTCTTGTGGTAGAGCGTCCGCCCGGAGAGCGGAAGGTCCGGGGTTCAATCCCTGGCCGCGTCATACCAAAAGACGTTAAAAGATAGTACTTGTTGTTACCCAGTCTGGCGCTCGGCATTAAGGGGCTAAAACAAGGACTGGTCGGCTCGGAGTCAGTATACGGTGTCTGAGTGGGGTATTCATGTTCAACTGCGGCATGGTATCTCAGTGAGCTAGCACTATAAATCGGCATCAGTCCGGACTAGTACAAGCAGCCATACACACACACACGTGCATGCACGTCGCTATATAAGTGCAATAATCTTGGACGCGACGTTAAACCCAATTTCACCTCACCTCACCTCTCAACAACACAAGCATCCGAATAATGTTCCCCACGGCGTCGCCAGACTCTCTCTTTGCCATCAGCTGTTGAGATACAGTAACGGCTCTTGTCTGGGAAGAGGACTCTTCTCCAGTGCTGGTGGTGCCAATGCTGGTGCTGTGTTGCCCACTGAAGACGGTCCCGGCGATGATGTGGTGTCAGAATGGGTCCTCGGTGTGGCCTGTGACAGTGGAGGTGTCTGCTCGTCAATCGTCGACGCACGGTGTCTGCACTAATGTGTCACTGGTGTGTCCCCATGGTCTGTCAAGCAGTTTCCACAGCAGTAACAAAGCGATCTTGAAGATGCTGTCGCACAATCTGACGATCCTGATGTTGGGTGGTGACCCTTGGTCTTCCACTACGTGGTCGGTCATCTGTAGTGTTGGTAGTCTGGTACCATTGCTGGAGCCTGTATATGGTCCTTACGTGGACTTGAATTGCATAGGCTACTTGCTGGGTGGTTTGTCCAGCTTGCAATCGTCCGAGGACTTGGTGTCGCTGATTTCTTGTCAATCTTGGCATGTGGTAGCAATTCAATAATGAACGAATACTCTCCGATCTGGGTGGATTTTTATAGGGCAAGAAATGGGGGAACGCATGTGCATTTAAATTTGCGCGGAACTCACATGCATCGGGTTACCATGGTTGTTGCCGTGATCGGTTTTGCAATTGGTTTTATTGTCATCTGCTTTTGTCTTTTATCATCAAATTCATTTTTACGGACAAGGTGATGTTAAATTTGAGAAACTTTGACCAAAATTACCCAGATATTTAAATGACAACTTTTCATGCAATGTTACTTGGGGTGACGTTTCTTTTGCAGTTCAGTATATATGTGGGTACTGAGGTCAGGCCTACCACACAGCAAGTCATGTCTGTCTGTCTACCTGTCTGATGGTCCAGGGCCTGTGTGTGTACATGGTGTAGTACGGGCCCCGGGTGTAGGGGTACTGCCCTGGGATCTCGTTTGGTACTTCCTTCACATCTTCTTGAGTGTAGAGAGGCTTGACGTTTATTCCCTGGCAACGGAAACAAAACATTTTTAGAACAGAATCATCACATCAGGGATAATTAAACATGAAAACCAAGTAAAAACAGCTAAAAATGCCAGAGAATTATTTTGTTGTTTAGATTTATAACTCTTATAACAATACATTTCCAAAGCTAAAGGTTTGGGATCTAGGGCATGTAGGGGGTATTTTAAAGGTACTGAGAAATACAGTGGAATCTGTCTAAACCAGACTTGTGAGGGACAGGGAATTAAGTCCTGTTTAGACAGCAGTCCAGATTAGACAAAAGTCCAAACAGATATGTCCTTTGAAATCTCACAAGAAATGAACAGTCAAGACGTGTTCATGTACAATAATACCTAACTTAGATGCCTTGGCGAAAGGCTTACACAGAGCTCCAGATAAGCTGCGTATCTGCGTAAAATACGCATCAGAAATGCAGAAATACGCAGTAAAATAAAATCCAAGCGTATTAAATACGCAACGAATATTACAGATACGCTACAAAAAACAAACTTGTGCGTATCATCAAATATTGTGAAGTAACCCTGCGTATTCGATTAGCAAATCAGCAACTTATTTTGAAATTATAAACGGGCATTCCGCAAACCTTGACAGTTACATCATGATCATTTGCCATCACACTTTCCTGTGGCAGTAACGTGGTATTTTTGAGTCCTATAAAGCTCTCGATCCCACACGACACCAGTTTGCAGGGACTAGATGAATAGCGTTTTTAAATATTTAACTTAAATACCAATATGTGTAAAAACTAGTGGGTAACAGAAATTTGAATACCCAGATAGAATTACTGATACCCAATGATTTTAAAATGCATGGGTAAAATACCCACAACACCGAAAGCTTATCTGGAGCTCTGCTTACACCACAATATAAACAAGAAAAATGTCCCAAGTACAGCTGATATATTTACAGCAGACCAATCTTAGTATCAATCTATATTGAAATCACATTGTTTGTGAAAACAGCTTACTAGAGATGTGTGAAAAGTTTACCCGATCAGTGGGCATCAATTACATGATAAATTGGTTCTTTGTCCTACAATTTCTGTCCACAGTCTGGAGTAGGACAGACCTTACTGGATGATAGATGAAAACTGTAAATTCAGGGTTGTAAATTTGTTCTGGCATATGACAGAGATCCAGATTAGTCAAGTGAGTGAGTTGGGTTTAACGCCGCTTTTAACAGTATTCCAGTTATATCACGGCGTGTCAGCTTAATGTGGGAGGAAAGCCCGAAGTGATGCAGGTCTCAGACGTTTACCACTTCGGTGAAACCCACGAGCACGGGTATGGTGCTGACAAACCTAGAAACATAATCTGGGCGAACCGTGATTCGAACCCACAATCATAGGTTTCTGGCGTGCCCAAGGGACGCAACTCTGCACAGCGAATCGCGGCGCCTTAGACGACTGGGCCACCTGTGCCCCACTGATTAGTCAAGAGACCAGTTTGGACAGATTCTGTTGACAGAATCATAGCTGTGTCTCAGCGACCAGCACATGTCTAATAGTATATAAATGTTTGTTTGTTTAACACCGCACTCAGCAATATTCCAGCTATATGACGGCGGTCTGTAAATAATCAAGTCTGGACCAGACAATCCAATGATTGACATCATGAACATCGATTTACACAATTTGAATAGGATGGCATGCATCTACCAAGTCAGCGAGCCTGACAACCCGATCCCATTAGTCGGCTCTTACAACAAGTATAGTCGCATTTTAAAGCAAGCATAGTATGAAATATATCCCGGGCGAGTGAGTGAGTGAGTGAGTGAGTGAGCGAGTGAGTGAGTGAGTGAGCGAGTGAGTGAGTGAGTGAGTGAGCGAGTGAGCGAGTGAGTGAGTGAGCGAGTGAGTGAGTGAGTGTGGTTTTAACAAGGCTAAAAGGCTAACCCACCACCCCACAATGTACAAGTATCTTCACAGGCATGTCTGATAGTAAAATAAGAGCACTAGTGAGCACATAGCTATGACTTTGCAGCTTTTTTAGCCACAAAGTAGAGAATTTATACCGTGACTTTGTCATCTTATAATTAGCGCCTATCAAACGATTTATTTTAGCCACAGTGAACATGGTGAAATGTCTGCCAGTTTGTCCACCTCTGATGTCCTCCATGTGAGAGTGTCCTCCACATCCTTCCCCCTCAGCTCCTTCTTGGCTCCAGCTGACCACGTCGGGTCAAGAGGGGCCGAGATGCTGGCAAACCTGGCACAGCTCCACACAGGGGAGAATATCTACAACAGCAACAAGCAGTGATAAGCGATGTTGTTTTTTTAATTTTTACTCCGTTCTGCATAGTGCGTCAATGGCAGTGACACCGACTCGGTATCCGCCATTTCCACATATTTCGCTGGTGTAATCCTATTTGGTATCCTGTTCAGCTTAGCCCGGATGTGAAGACAAAGGATTATAGGTGTTAATATACAATGCTTACCATCTTGCAATGTTTCAATCGTCAGAATTCTTTTAAAACAAATTTTAGTTATCAATTAATGAATATGATCCTGCAGTTGAATATGATCCGGCAGTTAAATGTTTGTTTGTTTGTTGCTTAACACCGCACTCAGCAATATTCCAGCTGTATGACGGCGGTCTGTAAATAGTGGAGTCTGGACAAGGCAATCCAGTGATTGACATCATGAGCATCGATCCATGCAATTGGGATACAACGACATGTATCAACCAAGTCAGCAAGCCTGACCACCTGATCCTGTTAGTCGCCTCTTACGACAAGCATAGTCGCCTCTTAATGGCAAGCATGGGTTGCTGTAGACCTATACAAGGGTTTCTTGCACACCAAAGGGACACAACTCTCCATATCAAATTGCTGCACCTTGAATGACTGTGCCACCCAAGAACACCCATATATACATATGATATATACATGATATATGTATGTATTCCCCATGTGACGTGTTTTCAAGCCTTAACTACTTTGGAGCTATTACACAATATGTGACCATGATCTTAATGATGAAATTAAGGTAGACGCCACAAAGCCCACTGAAGACAATAAAGAACCACTGAAGTCATGTTATAAATTAAGCTACATCATGCTACATAAGGTGAGATATTCTGTTATGCAAACATACTTCAAAACCGCCTGTTTTCTAGCGCACATTTTTATTAAACTTGTGCTGATGATGATCTGGCATCAGAACAATCGTATGCACTGATGGTGAATCAACTGCTGTTTGTAAACTTCCTGCCTGTCATGTGACTGGTATGTTGTCTACCTATTTTTAACTTGTCTGTAATGGAGCGTCTAGAAATCACATGACGGTAACAAGATGGCACCTGACTGACTCAGGTCTCGCTCAGCTAGGCATTATCACTATAAAATTAACAAGACATGGTTATTTTACCTTCCAGGCACAAACAGGAATAAATGTTTTCAAAAGTAAGACTTAATTTTAGTGTATTGGGATTGTTATTAGACAGTAATGCGAAATACCTCTTAGGGGCTTGAAAATCCATAACACGAGGATATATACAAAGGAGCAATGGGTCAGTTTCACAATGACACTCATTACAACGTCTTCACTGGAAATGGCTCCCCTTCTTTACTGTACATAATGTATAATGCACGTTGCTGCAAAACCTATTTAACTTAACTGTTTTAAACAGAATGTCATTAGAAGTAATACATAATGAAAGAAATAACGGAGTGAGCATTTGCATTTTCACTGAAATGTTCATTTGCGATACAAGCTGATCTAAAGGTTGCACATCATTAAGTTTGTATTGCAAGTGAAAAAGTCCTGGCAATACAGTAGGGGGCTGGTGATCGAAAACAGAACATTTTTCGGTCGGTCACACGCATACATTCTTTCCGTGTCCACATATTGTTATACATATCTGTTTTAGCATCAAAGTAAGTTATTTACTAAACATACTTGATTCGATTTGTTGCCAAGCTCTTTTCCGATCACACTGTAAACACGCAGCATGATTTATATTTTATCGCAAAACCAGCAAAGAAGGTCAAGGACGAACGGTGTACACAAAATTACGGATCGAATGAGGTGGGTGGTGGCTGAAACGGACCTGTGCCAACGTCCACATATTTCGCTGGTGTAATCCTATTTGGTATCCTGTTCAGCTTAGCCCGGATGTGAAGACAAAGGATTATAGGTGTTAATATACAATGCTTACCAAATTGCAATGTTTCAATCGTCAGAATTATTTTAATGAATGAATATGATCCAGCAGTTTAATATGACCCGGCAGTTAAATGTTTGTTTGTTTATTACTTAACGCTGCACTCAGGAATACTCCAGCTGTATGACGCCGGTCTGTAAATAATGGAGTCTGGACCAGACAATTTAGTGATTGATGTCATGAGCATCGATCTAGGCAATTGGGATCCGACGCCATGCATCAACCAAGTCAGAGAGCCTGACCACCCGATCCGGTTAGTCGCCTCTTTCGACAAGCATAATAGTATCTGATTATTATCGCCTCCTGCAACAAGCATGTGTTGCCGAAGACCAATTCTAACCAGGATCTTCACGGGTGTTGTTGCTTTTTAGTAGATCTATAAATGAAAACTTCGTAAAATGTTTACAATGTATCATTTGATAAGAAAAGAACTTTAAAAATCCCGAAAAGTGATACACAGTGACCTCATTCAATTACAGGGACGTCAACAGAATGCGGTGAATTATTTCTTAGTGGACATCTTTGGTACACCCAAATGTACTTGTATACATGCAGGTACTAGGATTTCATCATACCCAAGACCGCCTCCGTGGTCTAGTGGTAGAGCGTCCGCCCGGAGAGCGGAAGGTCTATGGTTCGATCCCGGGCCGCGTCATACCAAAAGACGTTTAAAGATGGTACTTGTTGTTACCCTATCTGGCGCTCGGCATTAAGGGGCTAAAACAAGGACTGTTCGGCTCGGAGTCAGTATACTGTGTCTGAGTAGGGTAATCACATGTTAAACTGCGGCATGGTATCTCAGTGTGCTAGCACTATAAATCGGCATCAGTCCGGACTAGTACAAGCAGCCACACACACGTGCATGCACGTCGCTATATAAGTGCAATATTCTTGGACGCGACGTTAAACCCAATTTCACCTCACCTCATCATACCCAATGCAATTAAACGTGAATGTGTTTTATTTCAATCCTGGATAGAGAAAAGAGTGAAGCAAAGCGGCTAAGGAAATGCAGCGTTGATTTCTATATTGCTCACGACATAAAATATATTTAAAAAATAGATTTCCAACGATCGATGGAGAAAAGATACAATCATACAATCATTATATGACAGTCCAGGAGGAGTATTTGCAGCATCTACGGTAAGTGTGACCAACCCCGGTCGTCTGCCGTCACCACGTGCAGCACGTGTTTTCCGACCTGATGCACACCTGACCCGCGAAAGGATCAAAACATGCACCACACAGCCCAGATTCGTCACTGAGCACTCTGTCCTTCAATTTGTTTCGCCGTTTGCTTTCAGGTAATCGGTTTTGATATAACTCTGCCCAAATAAGTACCATATTTGTATTGCCAACACATTTGAAAGGCCAGAGAAAGTGAAGAATTATATGAATAGAAAATGTTGTGTCGAAAGTAAGGATATGGTATTGTGGTGAAAATTGTTGAAATTGAGTTTGTGACATATATTTCGTCAGCAAATGACGATGGTGTAGTGGATAAACCGATTGGACAAAGCGTGTACCTGCTTCTGTCATCGTCTTTCATCTTTGCCCGCCCATAAATAGCGTGACCGAGTGAGTGAAAGTTGTTTACGCCAAATGTCAGTCAGCATTATGACATGGGCCTGTATGTCATCGATCCCAATAGCCTGGATCGATGCTCATGATATCAATCATTGGATTGTCTTGTCCAGACTCGATTATTTACAGACCGCCGTCATATAGTTGGAATATTGCTGAGTGTGACGTTAAACAACAAACAAACAACATGGGCCTGTACATAATCCAGTCCAGGCCAAGCAAACCTGAAACTAGCGTTGACAGCACGTGCAAGGATTTGGCCAGGTCACTAGACTGGTAGCAGTCCCTGTTGTAAAAATATAAATTTGTAAGATTTTATTTTTTTTAATTCGATGCGTTTTGGAGCTGGAGTACTGTTCAAAGCGGCGTTAAACTCATCTCACATATCAGGTTATGTCACTCGTGTTATATATCACACGTTTCCAGAACATTTCACGACCCGTTGTAAATGGCGACTAAATGGACCATCGATGCTCATGTCCGTAACTGGATGTCGCGGCTATTTAAACCATCGTATTATAGCTGTACATATACCCGTGATGATCCGTGTTAAAATAGGTGTTCAGCAACACATGCTTGCTGTAAAAGGCGACTATGCTTGTGGAAAGAGGCGACTAACAGGATCGGGTGGTGAGTCTTGCTGACTTGGTTGATGCGAGTCACCTTATCCCAATTCCGTGAATCGATGCTCATGATGACAAGCACTGGATTATTTACAGGCCACCGTCCTATAGCTGGAATATTGCTGAGTGCGGCGTGACCCCCCCATAAATAAATAAATAAATTAATTAATAAGTAAATAAATATCTGTAATATTGAGTGCAGCATTTCATTTATTCATGGTGAAAATTGTTATAAGTGAGGCAGGAGATTAAAGTCACAATTTTCTTTGTCACTTTACAAAATTCAATGAGTGAAAAAAATGTAATATCATTGCAGAACGATCTGACATGTCATTGGGCCCACTGAAAGACGTCAACCGGATTAATGACCCCACGCCTTCCACATCCAAACCAGGAAGCAAGAGCTGTTGTCCTGGTGACCACGCCCACTCTACTATTTCCGGTTCAGCTAAACGTAGTTCCACCGAGAAAACATTGAAAGAGAACTACAATGAATCTGGGTGTTGTGGCGGACATGATGCTTTCTGCTCAGACGAAAATTGTACGGACATAACCGAGTTTTCTCCGGACATTCCCGAGCCACAGATGTGTGGGAAATGCGGGAAGCACGGTGTGCGACTGAAAACCTGTAGTCGGTGCAAGACAGCTCTGTACTGCTCGAGAGACTGCCAGAAGAAAGACTGGCAGAAACACAAGAAGGTACATTTAGACTTACCATCGCACAGTTCAATCTTCGATATGTTGGCCCGGGTGGCCCAGTCGCCTAAGGCGCCGCGATCCGCTGTGCAGAGTTGCGTCCCTTGGGCACGCCAGAAACCTTTGATTGTGGGTTCGAATCCCGGTTCGCCCCGATTATGTTTCTAGGTTTGTCAGCACCACACCCGTGCTCGTGGGTTTCACCGAAGTGGTAAACGTCTGAGACCTGCATCACTTCGGGCTTTCCTCCCACATAAAGCTGACACGCCGCGATATAACTGGAATACTGTTAAGCGTTAAACCCAACCCACTCACTCATCTTCGATATCCAATGTATTATATCTCTACTTTATTATTATAAGGTGATAACATGGATTATATACCCTTCAACTATCCAACACACACCTTTATGTGGAAACGCTATATATAAATTGTGGTGTTTGATAGTAAAGGGACATAGTATTTCATTATTTCAATCAGAACTTCAGATTCCAGTAGGAGGCATGTTTGGTCTAGTTGTCTAAAGCGCCACAATTCACTTAGCAGAGCTGCATCCATTGGGGGCGCCAGAAACAAATGTGAATTTCGATTCGCTCCGATAATATGTGTTTCTAGTTTTGTCAGCACCATTCCCGTGCTCGTGGGTTTCGCCGAAGTGGTAAATGTCTGAGACCTGCATCACTTTGGGCTTTCCTTCCACATCAAGTTGACACGCCACGATATACATGTATAAATACTGTTCAACCCCAACTCGCTCACCAAGAGTCCTTGCTCTGACTTCTGATATTCCCCGATGGTATAACTGGAATAGTGTTTAAAATCAAACAATCTATATGAATATCGTTCTCTTTACAGACATGCAGAATACCGGACCATGACGGGAACGACCTGAAGACTCTCCTGAAACAACTGACTACGAGCCTCGTTGTAGAAAAACGTAGAAAGCTGACCTTCAGCGAGGCCAAAGTGAAGGCTGAGAAGTTATTTCCAGGGAGACCACTCTTCGATGAACTCTCCAAACTGAGCACACACCCGTCTCGGGGAATTTTCCTTGGGCTTATAGCTGAAATGCATTTCTATGTGGTTCGGCACGGGGTGTATGTGAAGGTAGGAGTTATGAAGAAAAGTGACTTCAGTTGGTTTTCGCGTCAATTAAACAATAAAGCTGACAAAACGCGTAAATGTATTTTTTAAAAATGGATTATTGGGTGAGTTACAATTTAACGTCGCATCGGCATTATTTCAGCCATATAGCGACGAATAAAATGTATCAACATTAGCAACTGTTTGTTGTATAAAAAACCCCAATGTATTACATATTAGAAATCCATTCTTACCGCCGCTTCTACGTATATAACTGATATTGACCATTGGAAATTATCCATGTTGAGCATCTTGAAACAGGCGCATGTAATGCTTAACCTAAGTTTTCCTTTAAGATGGAGAATCTCACCCGAGTGTAGACAGTAATTAGCAGTGTCTTAAGTGTAAAAAGTACTGCTAACAGCTTCAGTAGCAGAGCCATTAGTGATGTCATTTGATTATGACGTCATGGTAACCAGTGACGTCACAATGTTCTGCAAAGCTTGATCTCACCCAAGCGATATCTCCTGTGGGAGCCAGTTTTGGATGATAAATGGAACGTTGCTACTGACGTTTCTTTGAAGCAAATAATAAATGGTCTATCTCGAATTCCTTGTAATCATGTTTGTTTGTTGTTTAACGCCACACTCAGCAATATTCCAGCTATATAAAGGCGGTCTGTAATCGAGCATGGATCTGACAATCCAGTGATAGACATCATGAGCGTCGATGTTCACAATTTCATGGGATACCATCACATGGATCAACTAAGTCAGCGAGCCTGACCACCCTATCCTGGTAGTCCTTTAAAATTGCAATCACGATGGCCAATGAATGTGGGAAGTACCACACAGTTGCGGAATATTGCTACAGACATTTATTTCACTGTAAGGGACCCATGGGGATTCCGGGGCAGGGAGTTACTGACATGAAGATGTGCGACCAGGCTGATTGAGTCATCGTGTCCCAAAGAATCGTTGTTCATGCAGTCAACCTCTGGTTTCTCTGGCCCAAACCACGGGGGTACATGTAGCTGGATTTACAGCTGCATTGTGATAGCAGTGTACATGAGTGAGTTGGGTTTAACGCCGCTTTTAACAGTATTCCAGTTAAATCACGGCGTGTCAGCTTAATGTGGGAGGAAAGCCCGAAGTGATGCAGGTCTCAGACATTTACCACTTCGGTGAAACCCACGAGCACGGGTGCTGACAAACCTAGAAACATAATCGGGGCCAACCGGGATTCGAACCCACAATCATAGGTTTCTGGCATGCCCAAGGGACGCAACTCTGCACAGCGGGACGCAACTCTGCACAGCGAATTGCGGCGCCTTAGACGACTGGGCCACCCGTGCCCCCCTGTAGTGTACAAATAATTACTCTTGACGAACAGGCCACCGAAGGGGTCCGGTCGGGTCCGGGGCTCCTTGTTTTTGCATATTTTCCTCGTGAAAAGTAATAATTCGTTTTGTTACACCAAAATTCACTTTAAAGTCAATGAAGTCTTTTAACCGTCCGGGGCGCTGGAGTAGCCCAGTGGTTAAAGCGTTCGCTCGTCAAGTCGAAGACGCGGGTTCGATTCCTCACATGGGTACAATGTGTGAAACCCATTTCTGGTGTCACCGTCGTGATATTACTGGGATATTGCTGAAAGCATATGGCGTAAAACCATACTCCCTCCCTTTTAACCACCCTGTTTTATTACAGTAACTTAGTTGCGAACCGTGAAGTGTTGCTACTAGACGCCATCTTGTTTTCTAGCACACTCCGTCGCAGTGGTGACTCAGCATAACACCACTGCCACAGGCTAATTTGCATATCACGTGACCGCACTTTTCTCTTGTTTGTAAACAAACGCGCTTTTTCAGAAATCAGTATAGAACGGACTAATGCAAGTATTTGGGGGCGCTTTACATATTGTTTTGCATAACTATATAGATATGCTACTACAACTGCGATAGTGAGTTGCATGACAATATATATTTATGCATCAAAGTGACCGCGTCGCTAGCTCTCCGTTGGGCTTCGATGACAGCACGTGGAGCCGTACAACCAATGTAAACATAGGATAACTACGCAAAAACAAGTAGATTTTTACGTATTTGCATACTTTCTCAAAGAAGGTTAACCATTCTTTGACATTTGTTTATGAAAATGTGTAGACTTGTCAAACATGAAACGGATGAAAAGCATTTGCAATATCTTGAATGGACTGTGAAAGATGTGACGAATCGTCACATGGCGCTGGCCTGTGGCAGAGGTACTATGCTAGCTGGCTGCCGGCCGCATGGAACTCTGGGTAGGAGAGTGGTTTTCTAGCAGATGAGTCAATATTAATCACGTGACAGGTCAATACTGATCATGTGATGAGTCAATTCTCGAAGCCAGGCAGTCACATGATTTCGAGGTCTACTTTGAAATGTATTGTTTCGTCACGTCGTACGGATTAACCAATGGAATGTCAATGTTCTTAATAGAGGTATAACTACATAATCTTTACCCCTACGTTGTTTTAGGACCGCGTTGGCCGTCAGACCTCATTATTCTTCTACCTGGACTTCGACAACCCTGACCCTTACTTCACCTGGGACGACCTTCAACCTGGCAACTACATTTGCATAAAGAATCCTCATTTGCATATTTTCATGGATGGTCAGGCAGGACTTCGCATTGACGAAGCATCTTCAGTCAAGATTATCTTTTGACATAACCACGTGTTGACTGTGGAGACTTTAAATTGTCCAGACACCTTGTTGATTTTTTTCAGGTTTGATTGATCAAGTTATTTTTGTCATTACGAATGTGCATGATTGTTAAAGCCAGAAAATATATACATATAAAACGATCTGCATTATATCATGTACCCTTGTGTCTGTCATTTATGCATAGCTTGGTGTCGTGCAAGACAGAATAGTGGCGTGATGCTTGTCGAGAAGCGCCGTCATATAGCTGGAATATTGCTGAGTGAGGCTTTAAAACAATAAATTGTCGAGAGTAAACTTGACCCCGTGGCCACAATGGCTGATTTGACTTGGCGAAGACCTGATGTCTTCCAGCTGTCGAAGTGCAGCGTTAGAAACAAACAGTTTTGGTTCACTGGTCCATATAATGATATTATGTAAGAAAACCCGTAAAAGGGCCCAATTTCTACTCATCCTAAGGGGGCACGGGTGGTCCAGTCGTCTAAGGCGCCGCGATTTCCTGTGCAGAGTTGCGTCCCTTGGGCACGCCAGAAACCTATGATTGTTGGTTCGAATCACGGTTCGCCCCGATTATGTTTCTAGGTTTGTCAGCACCATACCCGTTTTCGTGGGTTTCACCGAAGTGGTAAACGTCTGAGACCTGCATCACTTCGGGCTTTCCTCCCACATTAAGCTGACACGCCGCGATATAACCGGAATACTGTTACAAGCGGCGTTAAACGAAACTCACTCCTCATCCTAACTTTTGGCAGTTTGACAAGGACTTCGGACTAGTGCCAATTTCTAACGTGGGTATTAGCATCTGGTACATAGGACTGTTGTTATCGGAGTGTTCATTCAGCGAGACCGTGGGATTGTCCTGACGTACAAGGAGAACACGCGGATGCACTCGTGTCATTCCGTAACAAGGCTAATGCAGGTGACGATTGGGTTTGAATCTCCGGTGGAGCGCCTTTAGAATTCAGCACCACAATTTCTCGGAAGGACTACTTCTGCCATACCAGGTCTTTGAAAGGCATTTAGAAGTGATACACATACGGAAGTGCATTTATTGATGTCAACTTCTTTATTATGAGGAACACAACGTTTCGGTGTATATGCTTACTCCTTCATCAGTTGAATGTATGCCATGAGGCAGAGAGCATATATGTACATGTAAGTACAGCAAAATTAATAAGATAACAAAAGGTGGAAACTAACAAGGGAAGCCAACATATGATTTGCGCTGATGGGTGATTAGTAAAATAGACAATAGAGGCCAACTCTTTACAGTAATTAGAGCTGATAGTATGGAGGTGAGGTGAAATGGGGTTTAACGTCGCGTCCAAGATTATTGCACTAAAATAGTGATATGCATGTACGTTTGTGTGGCTGCTTGTACTAGTCCGGACTGATGCCGATTTATAGTGCTAGCTCACTGAGATACCATGCCACAGTTTAACATGAATACCTCACTCAGAAACAGTATACTAACTCCGAGCCGACCAGTCCTTGTTTTAGCCCCTTAATGCCGAGCGCCAGACAGGGTAACAAGAAGTACCATCTTTTAACGTCTTTTGGTATGACGCGGCCGGGGATCGAACTCCTGACCTTCCGCTCTCCGGGCGGACGCTCTAGCACTAGACCACGGAGGCGGTCCGATAGTATATGGAAGCCAGTACTTACGTTATCATAGATAAGTAATAGGCAATGGGCAAACGGGAGGCCGGGTAATTACCACTGATAGGTGAAAGATGGAAATAGCAATTGGCAAATGGAAGCCAGCCAGATAATTAGTACCGACAAAGATCAAAGCAATAAGTCCCAAGCACTTGGCAGGTAAGTTCCCTGGTCACGGTTCATGGCTGAAGAACCAAGACCATTACATCATGTGGGAAGCCACCAAAGTCCTGTCTACCAACAACAACAACTGGGGACAAAGAAAACTACAAGAAGCCATTGACGTTAAGACGAAACCGCTGGATAAGTTCCGTGTCTGAGTACACACTGAAAATGTTTTTCCTTGGCCTGAAAGTTCTCAGCTGATGCGGCTGGGGTGCCCAAGCTGCCGCCATATTGGATACTTAAGAACATTCTTAGGTAGCTAAAAGCCCTCTTGAGTACTCTTAACTTTAGGAGTACTCTTAGTGCTAAAAGTTTTTATGAATATGACTTAAGAAAATTCTTAGATTTAAGAGTAACTTTTGGTATTTCTAAGAATTTTCTCAGACTTAAGACCTCTTTAGCACTCTAAGAATGTTTATGAATACCGCCCCAGGAAACCTACTTCTGCCACAGACTACAATCCACTAAAACAAGCACCCGTATTTGTGATACTCGTCTGACTCGTACTCGCGAACTTCAGATTGTTAGCATGACCGTTACCGACTGAGTTAGATCAAGGTCCACACTGTTAAGGGTCGAACAGATGACGGACACTTCCGACGGTTATACCTAGGCATAGTGTCATGATCTACACGATGTTGGGTGGTGCAGTGTGAAGAAGGGGCTGATGTAGGTTATTTTGTCACAGAAAGGTGTGAGAGGGAACACTGAGAGAGTGAGTGAGTTTGGTTTAACGCCGCTTTTAACAGTATTCCAGTTATATCGCGGCGTGTCAGCTTTATGTGGGAGGAAAGCCCGAAGTGATGCAGGTCTCAGACGTTTACCACTTCGGTGAAACCCACGAGCACGGGTTTGGTGCTGACAAACCTAGAAACATAAACGGGGCAAACCGGGATTCGAACCCACAATCATAGGTTTCTGGCGTGCCCAAGGGACGCAACTCTGCACAGCGAATCGCGGCGCCTTAGACGACTGGGCCACCTGTGCCCCCTTAGGATCACTGGGGATAATATAGATCATAACATCAGTAAGGAAGGAGGGAGGTATAGTCTGGCTACAGACGCCAAGATAGTTAATCGGCTTTTGAAATGTAGCGAGTGAACGTGGCTTGGGTGGAAGTTCAATGAACGATAACCGCAGCACTATAGTCGACACCACAAAGTTGTATCCTGCTCACTCGACGCTCCTGTGTGAAGAACTAATGCAAGGAAATGTTGAGTGAGTATGGTTTTACGCCGCTTTTAGCAATTTGACGGCAGAGACATCAGAAATGGGCTTCACACATTGTACCTATGTGTGGAATCGATCTCGTGTCTTCGTCGTGACGAGCGAACGCTTTAACCGCTCGGCTACCCTACCGCCCCTGGAAATTTGCACGCGTCGAAGCTTCGGCTGCCGTACATTAAAATGAATGAGAAGTGGGTACAATCCCCTTAAAGGGGAAGTGTACACGCAAAAATCACTTTCTTTCTTTTTCTAAACAAAACGCAATTTTAGAATTAATTAGTATCTGTGTTTGAAAATATACACTCATTTTTTTCACAGTGAAAGTAGGAAGCTCACAATAGTGTGAAAATGATATGCCGTTATAAGGCCTTCGTTTTTCGAGCTAAACAGGCCTGAGTTATCCCCCTTAGATTATGACGTAATTGGTGCCATTTCAACTGGGTCCCTGTCTATTCTCAACGCAAAAGATATCAAGTACCAGTTTGCGGTAAAACAACATGGCCTACGACACACTCCGGCGCAGTGGTGACTCTGCATAACACCATGCTGGCTGGCATCTGAGACGCTAGAATCACACACCTGTACCTACACCACGTGAAGCGGCTCTAACAAAGCATGATGACGTCATAATGTTTATCAATTGGCACCAATGACGTCATATTGCAAGGGGCATAAGCCATGGTGTTTTTGTTGTGGAAATAGAACACTTGGTAAATGTGAAAAATATAAATCGTTTTAATGCGAAAAATAAGTTGATTAATTGTGATATTTTTTTATTTTTGTCTATGACACTTCTAGGTTAACTCTTTTAATGTGGAAAAAGTACAAGAAAAATAGGTTCATTTCCGTGTGAACTTGCCCTTTAAACCCCAATGTACAGCTCGTGCCCATCTGTGTCAGTGCAAACCAGAGCCTACAAACCTAGTAATGAGTTTATTGCAAATATGTCCCACTGTAGATTGAAATAATGACACAATGTACTGGATTCATGTGCATATTAATTATGACGACATAATCGAAAAATAAATCATGTGTATTAGTTCCCATGTATGATCCCTTCAGCTCCCATCAACTAACTTGAAAGCCGAGAGAAACATATACTGAAAATATATAATAAAAACGCTTCCAAAAACTGGCGTTTGCAACACCATTAGCCACAGTAGGATATATTTAGTAAGTAAATATTGAAAACTCTCAACATCGACGGGCTTATTTAAGGATTAAAAGTAAATATTGAAAACTCAACATCGGTGGGCTTATTTAAGGATTAAAAGTAAATATTGAAAACTCTCAACATCGATGGGCTTATTTAAGGATTAAAAGTAAATATTGAAAACTCTCAACATCGGTGGGCTTATTCAAGGATTAAAAGTAAATATTGAAAACTCTCAACATCGATGGGCTTATTTAAGGATTAAAAGTAAATCTTGAAAACTCTCAACATCGATGGGCTTATTTAAGGATTAAAAGTAAATATTGAAAACTCTCAACATCGGTGGACTTATTTAAGGATTAAAGTTATATTTGTTGATGTTCATCAGCTGATGAAGGCAGGGCATCACGTGAGCAAATTCCATGAAGCGCGAATGGTAAATTTGTTCTCTTGAGGCATCATCTTCATCGGCCGAAGAACGTCAACGAATACATCTTCAATCCTTATATTTAGGAGATAAACATGTTGCGTTTATGGCACTTCTAATGTTTTTCCTAAGTCGCTAAGATTTGTCTCAGCTGAGAAAGCTTAGATAATAGGACGCCTTAATTCTAAAGGAAAGCAAGATGGATGACAAATTGACAAAACGAAACAACACTATTCTTAATCTGAATGAATAACATGTTGCCATACACAACTGTGAGATTTATCTGTGAGAATATATTTGTTAATTCACATATTTTACTTTTGTTTCTTAGTCAGAACCCCACATTGGTGACAAACATCCACACGTATCTGGGAGAAATCTTTTTAGTTACATGCACAGAGTGGCCCCATAACAGCTATTTCCCAAGTGACACCAAACTCATAAAATATGCCTTATCTAGCTTATTTTCTTAATGCGCTTCTAGATTGAAACTACTATTTCTAGACAACACATGACTACACAGCTAGGAG